AATGGCTTCCCTCCCTTCCCAAAATGGCTGTTTTTTGGGCAGAAGCTTCAGAAGACACGATTTAAAACAGCTGATCGGCGGTTCTCTATGGGCGATCTTCGCTGGACGATAAGGTATTTCCCCATTGGAAAGCATTAACCAGTTTTCAGTGCATCCCAATGGGGATTTTTTCCCGCATGATGACGATTTCGCTGTACAGCGATTTTCCTGGAATGGATTGTCGTCATCATGCGGGGCACCACTGTAATTGAATTGCATCATGATACATTGTAAAATAGCATGAGACTTTTTGGACCAATATCGGATGCAACAAAACTTATTCCAGTGGCAAAAGGCAGTAGTTGGTTGGACTGTTTTAATACCAGCTATTTTGAGCAATGGCTGTTTTGTTTTAGCTTTTCGAGTAGATGAAATGTGGGGAAATTGTTTCGCCTGTTCAGGTGACAGTACTGTAGAATGCATACATGATAGTTAAAAACATAAAAATGAATTGATCAGCTACACGTAGTGGTAAGTGTCAACTTGGATAATTTTGAAAGGGGCTTGTGTAAATTCATGGAGGTTAACAGCATCAGCAATTACTGGTCAGGATATGTATTATGTTCACCTGCAGTATCATATAGTCAATGCTGAGGAATGTGGGGTGAGTAGTACAGATGTACCCATGGTCTCCTAGTGAGTTTTCCAATAGCAACTGCTTGGCTAATATGTGAACAGAATATTGGACCTAGATAGAAAATTTTGCTAATCCAGCAAGACTCTCCTGATGTTCTTGTGGTCTTAAAATTCTTGCCTAAGCATCTAAATTAGAAGGGGTTAAAGCACTGCTGGTAAATCAGTGAGTGGCAGTGTAGATGCTTGATCCTGGTTCAGGATCCTGAATCAGACGGTGATTTGAGACTGACTAAAAATTTCATACTCAGTAAAAAACAAATCATTTATAAACTATTATTTATGAAAGTGATATGTTTCATGCTGTTCAGCCTACTGTGTCTCCATGAATAATGTGCAATAAAACAGATAAGATTCCACACTCAAGAAACCATCACAGAGAAAGCTCTATCTTTGTAAAAAGATCATACTGCAAGTTCCTTTATAAGGACTAGAACGTGTTCCTTTCTCAAAAAATCGTTTGCTTTAGTGAGTTCTTTCAAGTCTTCAGTTGTATTGGGGACGTCTATAGAGTCCATACCTCTCTCTCTTAGGGGAATTCTGAATGAGGTGGGAATCTGGCACACAGTTCCATAGTGTCATCCCCTCTCCACCACCTTAGATCAGAGCATGCTGAGACTGTTATCCTGGATTTCCAGGAAACAGAGGATGCAGAAAAGTTGGCTTCTTGGAAACCCAGGATATTTTCCTTATAGTAAGCTAGTGAAATATTTACAGGCTACTAATCTTTGTGGGTTTATTTAAAAGGTTGCCATATACATCAAATTTTCCAATGTCTGGAGAGTAGGAAGCAGCATTTCTGTAGAAGAAATTGTTTGAAATGAATTACATCTAGCTGTAAACATCTAGTATGCAGGCTAAAGTTTATCCAGATTCAGTGCTGTGAGTCTGTGTGCTTCAGATCACAAAATGCATTTCTTTGGAAAAGCAGCCATTCTGACTCTGTAATCAAAATCCTAAATATATACACTGACTCTGTATCAGCATAGCGGTTGATCAGCTTTGTATCAGTGGTTTCTCAGCATGACCCTATCTCCTTTCTAATATGTCTCTTGATTGGAACAGGAAGCAAAGGCTCCCCTGTCTCAGTGAACGTGCACTATGAAAACCGGTGTAGCTTTCCCTTTGTAATTTATTGTCTCTCTTGGTTTATCAGTAAAACAGTGCTTACTCTCTGTGCCTTCTTTTTACTTTTGTATGCAAGCACTTAGAGGTGCAACAAGTTTTAAGTATGGTCGTCTATCTGTCTTTAATTAAGTCATCACTGTTTTGCCCTTTTGAAGAAACAAATTGCATAGATCATGGGTGAGCACACGCTAGTGTGGGCAATTGTAAGTAGACAGGTAGTGGAGTTTTGTGGGTCATGGACAATAGCAGGAATGTCTTCAAAACCATCTATTGTATTCATTTAGGTCAGCACTCCTGCCTGCTTATCCAACTCATTGTATTGGATGTTAAACCATGTTAGAGTATAGGGATAAGATGCATTTAATGTACAGGGTTTAGTAAAGAAATAGTGGATCTTTCTCTCCCCCTGCTCCACCGCTTACGCTCCAAAATCAACATTGAAAAAGACATTGGGGAATCAAAGGTGACCAACATAACAAGGAAGGAATGTAACAAAAAACAGTTACCAGTGTGGCACTATCTGATCATACTTCGAACTTGACTTACTTGCCCAAAATATTGGCTGCCCCAGATTCTCAATATTGTGAATATTCTCAGATTTCCTCTTCAGTGCTCTGTACAGAGAAAAGTGAATGATATTGTTAGAGTCTCCAAATGGAGACTGGTGCCAAGAAACCAGAAGAAGACAGACTGGGAAAGGCAATGAAGGAATTAGAAAATATCGTGCACTATAAGGATGTGTCACTGGAGACCAAGTGCAAGATCATTTGTGTTCTTGTACAGTAGACCATCACTATGCACGGGTGTCAAAGCTGCGCAGTGAAGGAGGCTGACAGGAGAAAAATAGATTCATTTCATTTATGGTGCTGGGGAAGGGTTTTGTGGCTACCCTGGACTTCCAGAAGGACAAACAAGCGGGTCCTAGAGCAAATCAAGCCTGAACTATCTCCAGAGATAAAAATAATAAAACTGAGGCTGTTATACTTTGAGCACATCATGAGAAGCCAAGATTCCCTGGAAAAGGCAGCAATGCTAGGAAAAGAGGAAGACCTTTAGAGGAAGAGGAAATATGAGATGGATTGACTCCCTAAGGAACCACAAGCTTGAGTCTACAAGAGCTGAACAGGACTGTTGAGAACAAGACATTTTGGAGATTTATAGGGTTGCCATAAGTTGGAGACAACTTGATAGCATGTAACAACAATACACATTGCTTTTAGCATTTAGTACTGTTTATTTTAATATTATAAGCTGCCTTGATCCTCTTAAGAAACAGGTGGGATAGAATTTTTTAAAATTACTTATATATTTGCATAATATATGTGCAGAATTGACGACAAAGTCGTCAGGCAGAAGGAGTTGGCCATAATGTTGATGTTGATTGTCAGGTACATTTCACACACTGATCAACCACTGCAGTGCAAAAGCAGAACATTTGAGAAAAAATAGGGGAAAAAGGGAAATATGATGCAGTAAAATAGGTAGGTAGGTCCAAATTGCAAGGCTTTTGGATAGTCTGACAGTAAGAGTATTATCATCTTAGAACTGCAAAGCTGGAAGGGACCTTGTGTCATCGAGTCCAGGCCGTGTCAAGGAGGGATAGTGAAAAATCGAACTCTCAACCTCTGGCTCCATAGCCAGATGCCTAAACTACTGAGCTGTCCTATATTATGGACAGATGGTGGATGTGGGAAAAGAGGAGAGGAGAGAGAATTGGGTGGAGTTGGGGCAGAGAAGGTGGGCAAGAGGAGAGGGTTGGAAGCAAAATGTCAATGAATAATTTAAAGTGTGTCAGATGTGTCAGTATATACAGCAGTAATTGTCATCACACAAATATTGGACACAAATATTGGGATGTTCATTTCAAAAACAGTTCAAAACAGCAACAGCAACACACATATGCCGGAACACTCTGAAACAACCAGCACTAAACCATTGTGTGGACAAGCTCTGCTACTGAAGGAACTACTACTTAATTGCTGCTAATGGAATTAAACAAATGAAATGACTCACATAGTTTGTTGAGAATTTTGATTATAATGTGTATTCTCATAACATAAGCAGAGTAAGGATATATTGGTTAGCAGAGATACTTATGACACTAGAGATACTTATTTACACTGAAAGAGTAAAACCAACAATTTAGTCTATTTGCACATATACATAGGGGATAGACATTCCTCTGGCAGCATAACATGACATGAAGCAACACACAGCACAGGAAAAAGTGATCTGACTTACAGCAGATAAAGACATTCATTTTACACATGACTTATGTACAGTTTTGTGACCGAAAAGAAAATACATTACTTCATTTTCTGTTACACAATGTTTCATCATGTATACAGCTGTACAACATTAAGTCTTAATCTTTGATACCTACACCTCAATACAATCAGTACAGTGACTCAGGTAAAATCAGCCATTTTACATGTAACTATACAACGCCTGGGACGTGGTGGCGCTGTGGGCTAAACGACAGAAGCCTGTGCAGCAGGGTCAGGAGACCAAGCAGTCGTAAGATCGAATCCACGTGACAGAGTGAGCGCCCGTCACTTGTCCCAGCTCCTGCCAGCCTAGCGGTTCGAAAGCATGCAAATGCAAGTAGATAAATAGGGACCACCTCGGTGGGAAGGTAACAGAGTCGAACACGACTGGACAAAAATTGTCAAGGGGAACCTTTACCTTACCATACAACATTAATATTTAATACATTTTCATATCAAAATCTCAACATATTTATATCCATGCATATTGGTGTTGGAGCACCGCTGAAAACCAGTGTGACAGGAATAGATGCAGATTGATGGACTGTGGGAAGGGAAAAGGTTGATTTCCTTATATTCCATTTATCAAAGTAAAAAACTGTTTGGGATTGGCTAGATGAAATTATAGTCATAATTGTCGCTGCCCAGAGTAGTCTATTGACTAGATGGGCAGGATATAAATTTAATATATAAATAAAATAAATAAAAGTATCTATGTTGGCTGTAAGAAACCTTTTTGCAGTATGTTCAGAAAACTCAAGTGTTTTTTTTTTAATTCTTTTAGCTTTTTTAAAGAAATCATTTCTTGCTTACTCTTTGAACAGGATAATGCCTAAAGTGGTATTTCTGAATTAATTAGTGTAACTTTCTGCATGTGTATGTCAAGGAAAAATTCCATAATCTTACTCAGTTACTTTCTGGTTTTGTTTTCAGGTTAACAAAGCCATTATCCTTTGCAGACTGTGTTGGAGATGAGCTACCATGGGGATGGGAAGCTGCATACGATCCTCAGATTGGTGTCTACTATATCGACCACATAAACCGTAAGTGTTTTCTCTAAGTGCTGTATTGATTATATAAGAAGGCTTAGCCAGATTAGACTCTATTGTTAGACACTTAACAAGCACTTGAAGAGGAAAAATTCCTTATGAAACAATTGAAACTCCCCACAGCCATTCTCTTAGGGTTTTTTTTTTTCCAAAGATACTGACATGGACTGCTCCTTCTCTTCTCACCCACCCTTCATTTTTTAATGCTCTTATATCTTTCTCTCTATCAAGCATACTTAAAACCAACATTTATAAAACAGAGTTGGAATTACATTGGAGTGTCTGTTAAAAGCCATGTTACTAGTTAAAACAATATTTCCTTTGTGTGCAAAATTAAAGAGTAACTCCATACATTTCTGAAAAGTTATTCTAATTTGACTTAAGATTCTGGGTTTTTTTTCATGCTTTTTTCTGCTTACTTCATCTGAATTTTACTAGCTATGGGATTTTACCCACAGTGGTGTGGTGGAGCCAGGGCTCATAGGGCTGAAGTGCCTAGAACTTTTTTACAACTTGAGACCACATAATAGTTCAGGAAGGACTTTCTCAGGGACAGTATATTGTTGCAGGCTGTCCCTGTTGCAGTGTGAGGTATCAGAAGATGGGTTTATCCTGAAGGAGCAATTAGGAGCCATTCGCTTCATGACGGACCTGTTCTGATGAAAACAAAAGGTGCCAGTACTAATTTGTTTATGTTGACAGTTCTGCTGCTCACATTTTTAGGCTTTCCTGTGAAGGGCACAAGCTATAGGTACTATCATGATGAATATATGTGTAGCTATCATCCTGCCTTTGCATATGTATGAGGGTATTTGCATGTACCAATGGGAGTTATTGGGAGGTGGAGGCAGGGAAACTAGAAGGGAGAGGTGAGACAGGTAAGAGCAGTTAGTCCCTTAGTCAGAGAGAGTCTAAAGTGAGAAGTCAGTTAGAGCAGGGGTCCCCAACCCCAGGTCTGCAGCCCGGTGCCAGTCCATGGCCTTGGCAGGACCGGGCTGCGGAGACAGATCTCCTGCCTCCCCCGCATGCTCACATACATGGCTCACCCATCCATGCGTGAGCAAGCACCCCTGCCATCCGCGTATGCACACGAGCACGCCCTGCTCATCTGCGAGCGTGCCGTGCCCATCCACGCGAGTTATACCATCATCAGAACAGAATCCATCATCAGTAAGAGAATAATGGAACACAATTCACATAACCCATCTTCCATTTCTACTTTCCCAAACTCCTCCTTTCTCCATGGTCCATCTGGTGGTTAACCAATTAAGAGGTTGTACCACCTCTCTCTGCCCCCATTCCCACGAGAGAGCAGGTGTTGTTATCTCTTCTCCAATTAGCTAGGAATGTTGAGTCTTCCAGGGCCTCTTGGTTTGGCTTTCAAGTTATCTCGTTCCTGGCTGTAATGGTCCTTAGGAAAACACACTCATGGGATTAAGAAAAACACATTCCAAAGTCTCTGAAATCATCTTCACACAGAACCTATCTGACTCCATTTTACATTTCTCTGACTACATCTCCCATCATCATGACATGCTTATAACCACATATCCCATGGTCATGACAGTTGTAATTTACATGCAGTATGGACCTCAATCTTTCTAAGTAAATATTCTTGACAGAGATCAACTGGTGGCAGCGTAAAAAGGGAACATGGTGTTGGCCTTAGGTTAGTGAAATAATCTGGGGACACGCAAGGGGCAAGTCACAACATGCACTACAGAAATTACCACTACAATACTGCTCACCCACAATTTCCTTACACCCATTGAAACCGGCTTTGTCAAAGTCTAAAGTGCATATTATTCTGCTGTCAGTATTCTCTGTCCTCAGTATAACAAATTAGAAGAGGGCACAGAGACTTCCACCCCAAATTCCTAGTGTTCTGTCCTTGTGGACCAGTTTTTCCCTGTGGATAAGGGCTAGCTGATGCTTGTTGCTTCTCCCACCTTTTGGATGATAAAACTGTCAGCAAGGGAAGTGAGGAATTTGTTGGGCCATGTATTTTTTGGTTATATTGGACTTCCATGAGTTATTAGGGTAGCTGAAATCTCCCATAAATATTATAACTTTCCTCTTTGAATGTTTGAGCATCATCCCACTCTTCATGCTGGCTAGAATGTCTGTAGCAGATCTCCATAGGGTTATCACTGTTATTTGCCGGTACAGTGGTGCCCCGCATAGCGAGGTTAATCCGTTCCGGATTAACCGTCGCTATGGGGAAACATCGCTAAATGGAACGGAAAATGCCATTGGAATGCATTAAACTTAGTTTAATGCGTTCCGAAGGCTTCTGTACTCACTGTTTAGCGAAGTTTCCCCCATCCGGCAGCCATTTTCGTGCCCCCGGTAAGCGAGGGCAGGGCGCGAAAACGCTGCGTGCAGCCATTTGGGGGCACGCGGTGGCCATTTTGGAGCCGCCGATCCGCTGATTTCCCGACATCACAATGCGAAGATCGGTAAGCAAAACGCTTACCGATCTTTGCAATGCGAATTTTGCCCATTGGGGCTGCCGGTATGCCTTCGCAGTAGCGATCCCAAAAAAGGGATCGCTATGCGAATTCGTCGTTGTACGGTGCGCTTGTTATGCAAGGCACCACTGTATTTTGTCTGGTTTTTACCCAAATGGCCCACCACTGCTCCCTGTTCCAGCTCATGGAGCAAAGGAAATAACGCTGACTGTGAAAAAGAATCCCTGAATAGAATGGCTTTAAAAATATTGATTTAATGACAAGTTTCTGGTTATAATAGATATTTCACATAATCAGTTCCAGAGAAGAAAATATAATGATAAACAGCCATCTGGTTCCAGGACTGAACAGTTTGGACAGGGTTTTTCCATTTAAAACAGTATATAATATAACTTAAAAATCATCATGTAATATAGAAATAAAAATGAAGTGATTCAGAGGGCTACCACTAGGAAAAGTGCATAAACTTGATCAAGTGGACACTTTTGACTTTACACATGCATATATTTGTGCGTACCATTCAGGTAATTGCTTACTACTTCTCCATCATTTTAAGCACTTCTGTTTTTTGCGTTGCTAGGATACTGCTTATTTAAAAAACAGGATCAGCTCAATGTTCTTGGAAAGATCTGAAACATATACTTCAATTTTTTTTAAATGTCATTTTAAGAATACCAATTGCAGAAGTGTACCCATAATAGTTTCTAGTAGCAAAAGAGGGGGTGAGGGTGAGGAGGAAAGACTTTCGAATATTTTACATTACACACCCTGGTTTCAGAGGAAATGAAACTATGTCCATCAGCTCCGTACAAGTCCATGTATTAATCATAACTGTGTAAGATCCTCTATGTGTATGGGCATAGGATATTTCACAAGTAATTAGGAGGAGGGTATTTATAAGCACAATCCTCTTTTTCTTGCATATACTGTACCTTGACCATAATCCAGTCCACAGTGTGTATAGTCCCATAAAGTCAATTTTCTCATCAGGTACTACGTTGGATGTCACTTGTTAGCTTACTGCATTAATGTTAAGTGAGTATTGTGGTTTAATTAAATAAGAGGGCAAGCAAACATATACACCTTTTATTCTAAAAATAAGGTTAAATGCTAACTTTAAAAGGTTACTATCAACATATTATTTTTAGAAGATTAGCTGTATCAGTTTATGAGCCTTCTGCTCAACACAGAAATAATGGTTTTAATGTTAACACATTAATGCTTACATATTATCTCCATGTTCTGTGAATGCTCAAATAAAAATGAAATCTCTCTCCAAGGGGCCACAGCAATTCTTGTCTTTGAAATAATGTAGCAGTAGAAAAAGATTAAACACTTAATTGATTCTGGTATTGGAAGGTGGCTTACTAAGCAGTAATGTTTTATCTATATGAGAATGTGTATAGAACAGATTGCCATGGACTATTGTTATTCCAGAGTCATGGATCAAGACTGACCCTGAAAATAAGATTAGAGTTGTTTTGAAACCAGAGTTTATAAAATGATTTGCTTTTTATGGTGCTAAAAACAGGACCAGAATCACAGACTTTGAGGATGAACAAACAAATATGATACGGGTTGTGTCTATAGTAAACCTGAAGGACCTTATTTGAAATTGGTTACACTGAAGATTTTTTACTGGGTAAGCTCCAACAGAAAGCAGTGAGATACAGATATTTGTGAGGAACTTGCCACTTTAAACACCTTATGTTTGTTTTTAATCCTCTGTATGCAGGTAGAAGTTAATAGCAAAGTTCTATATTATATATAGCTTTAGCTTTATAATAAACCTGGCTGATAGCATATGTTTTTTTTTAATTGAGTTAAACTGTTTTTTCCTCTTTGTTTGAAAGTAAACTGAGAAATCAGGGACTTACTTCTTTCTTGGATATGTATTAATTTATGCTGATGTAACAGTTTTGGTGAAAAATAATTTTGAAGTGGCGTAGTAGACGTTGTAAATGTTGGGTTACAAGATTGGCTATTTTCAAGAGAGCATTCTTCGAGTTCCTGAAAGGTGAACTACCTGTGATAAGGGTCAGAGACAGGTCACTTGTCTTATATGAGAAAGCTGAGATTATAGACTTTTAATTCACATAATTGAAAAGTAACCATCTGATAGCTATGAATTATAGCACACAAGAATTTACTAATTTTTTTGTTAATTTTTAATTGTAAAAGTGTCCATTGAGGCATTAATATACATTATTGAGTATACAGAAATGTAGATTGTACGTTAACAACTGCGCCCCTTGTGCAAGTGTGAGTTTTTGTATTTCACATAATGATCCCCTTCCTGTTGTGTCCACGAGCATTTTGCTGATGAAAACAAATGGAATACTTTGCAACCTGACAATGTCAGATTCTGCTTTATGGATCAAGGAAGAGAATAATGCACCCTTGTTTGTTTGTTTTAGTGGTCCAAGGTTTTTGTGAGAGCTGATATGGGGTTGTGGCTAAGATTGTGAACTGTGACCAATGGAGGTTCACATGGTGACTCAATCATGAACTCACTAAGAGGCC